ATTGGTGTTTGTTTCAAACCTGGCTTCTTGATTTTAAATTAAACATTCAAATAAAATGTTTAATTAACTTTGCTGAACATTTTTATGAACTATTGACACAGTTTATGATCAGACAAGACAAAACTTCACATATTTATGAGAATAATCAATTTACCAATTTACCTTCAGGTCGGTGGGCCCATGAAATGCCTGACAAGGTCTATGAATAGTACAGGTTTCTTCAAGATATAGCTAAAAATTTTGAAATGTTTTTTGCTGACGAATTATTAGAAGCATTGGAGACTTTGTTTAGCGAAGAGTTTGGAGTATTCTTTGAGAATTTGGAAAAAGTAATTAATAAAGCCTTAGATCATTTCGAAAAATGGTTTGCATTTTGGCTCTATTTACCATTGGTTGTTTGTCGTCTCGGTGACAATAATGCTAGGTCTTTCACTTCTAGTTTTTACCACATTGTTCTAAAAAAGCCTTGGGCTAAATTACCAAATGATTTAGAATTACAGTTTGCAGAGGAACTAGAAGATGATTTAAATAATGGAAAAACTGACAGTTTGGGTTTATATGAATTGCTGTTGCAAGACAATGATTTTCTCCACGAATTTGAAGAATTCTGTATAAATGATGAATTATCTATATACAACTTTCCTAGACTGTATCATTTTGTAAAAACTCGAATCTATTTTATCATTATCTATCAGCAACAAGTGGAGGGTCTTTTCAACAAATTAGACCTAAAATCACACCCCAACATGTCACTATCGATGAAAGAATTCAAGCTTTGTATGTTCTCAAGCAAAATCGATAAGGAAAATTTATTGGAAAGGTTAAAAGAAATACGAACAAATCGAAAAAAAGCTCCACTTCAAGAATTAATTCGACGGTACAACCTGTAATCTTTATACAACTCATAATGTTTTCCATAATCTTGAGGTATTCGAGAAAACATGTTAAAATACGCGTATAAAACGTGTAATAAACAATAGTCTCGGATTAATTCGAATATACCTTTGTAGTTCTTATGTCATCAGCGTTTGAGTGGTCATATTTATTCATTTCATTAATCATAATTGCGGAGCAATTAAAAGCCAAACCAAAAAGCCACTGTCTCATCGCGTGAAACCAATTATCCTCAACGGGAAATCCCAGGGCTTTCCATGATAGTCCCGACTGTTGCAAAACTTCACCATATAAAGATTTCTTGAATTCCAAAACTTCTAGAACTCTTTGTAAGCTACACCCAATATCCTTGTTTTGAGGGTATTCAGAATTAACAGTTGCTTTCATGTCTTCAACGATTTCGACATATTGAACAATGTTCTCCACATTCTTTCCCAAAGTATGCCATTGAGGGAAAATTTGCTATAAAAACACGTGATAAGAATACAATTTTATTATTACAACCTCATTTTTACGGGCATTAGTTGGGCTGATCAACCAAGCTATGTTGGAAAGCGTACAACTTTGCTTACAGAATGTTCTAAGGTTTTGACTTACTATGAATGGTTTACAATAGTCGCATCTCAGCCATTCGGCATTACTCAAAAATCTGTCAATTAAGGATGTAATACCATCAAAAGCTTGAGGAATTGAATTATGAAGAATTTTAAGTGTTGATTCCATATCACAAATTCGTTCCTGAAACTGGGATTGAAACTCTCGCAAGGACATATTTCTTTTTTGTGCTTGCAATTCAATCCAATTCGTCATCGTAACATTCCAATTACAATAATTATCATCAGGATTTGATAATACACGACGCAATGATTGTACCCTAGCAGGTTCGTGGATTAGCTTTGTATCTTTATCAACAAATTCACCAGAATTATTATCAACCATCATATCCATATCAAAAGTATTGTTAAATGATGTGACGCATTTCTTAGCACGTTTGCTGTCAAAGAATCGACTGGTAAAATTTTTGATATTACGTTGAGGAGGTAAACTAAACGATGAACGTGTTGTTCCATAAGTACTCAAGGAAGCCTGTGTATTCGATAATCCAGCATCATCGTCGTCATTTGTTTCGTCTTCTGAAAATGAAAGGCTTCTCGCAAGTCTTGAAGATAATGACTTTGAGATTTTTTGACACTTGTATTTACGTTGATTATCATCGTCGCGTTTTCGCTTAAGAGGTGATAAACTGCCGAAAGAATCTTCAAATTCTTCTAACATCATAGGCTCAGCTGCAAACCGAACAATTTAACATTAATATTATCGAAATTTACAAAGTAACTAACTTAAAGGATCTGAGTTTTGGGTTTTGAAACTTTACATACATGCATACAATTTTTTCAATCTTCGTTCGGCTTCAGAACTCTCAAGTTTTATCGGCATGCCATTATTGTCTAGCAAAATGTTCTCTGGTGTTCAAATTTAGAAAAGTGATAACGTTTAAAAATAATGAAGCAGCGAAATCGCAATAAACAATATAATAACAGGTATACAAGTATACCGAGCGCAGTTAGTAAAGTGTTTATAGCGTTTTCCCAAATTTCTCGTGAAGACGACCGAACTATATCAAGTTTCATGGCTGTAGATTGTTCGTTTGAATTCATAGCATTCCTAAAATGAAAAGTGGTAGGCACTTCTTTAGTCATCCGCATCTTCTTCTTCTATAATGTCTTCGTTGTCGTCTTGAAAGTCAACTAAGACGACGCAGGTAATGAATAAACCAATGCTAACTGCAAAGATAAGTAAAAGAAATTGGGGCTGTAAAAGTTTTTTACTGGCTTTCAAGTAAAGCTTCGGATATGAAGGCGGGAGGGATGGAGAAGCCGAGACCGGCAGGATCATGACTATCGAACTTTTGTCGAAAGTCAAGATTAAACGTCATGGAACCTTCGTGACATTTTATAAAAATTGGTTTACATATATTTCACGTGATAACACATTCCCAAATGTATGATTTCCGACGCGTCTTTTTAGATCACATGTCCACATACAGATACTCCGATATTCGCACCTCCGACTGTATAAGTGTAAGTTAGTGCAACAGGTAAAGGATAACATTCTTTTGATCGGGTCAATAATAACAACTATAATGATACGCATGTAACTAACAGATAATGAAGGGCACAAGGGCACGAGTCATTGGGGAGCTCGGTGCATTATGTAAATCAAAACTATATGTGGTATCTTATAAAAATCTATTAACGAAGATTTTTGTGTAACTATAACGA